GTCCCTCGTCGGCGCGCTGGAGGCCACGGAGGAGACCGAGGGGGGGGGCCGCGGGCGGCCTGCGGCAGGGAGCACAAGGGCGGGAGCGTCGGCAGGAGGAGAGTCCAGCTCCTCCCCCCCCTCCCTGCCTCCTGCGCCCTCCTTCTTCCCCCGCCTCCGGGTCCCCCTCCTCTACCTTTCTGCTTCCCCCCCCGGGTGTTTTGTCTTCCTCGCCTGCCAGGCACTGCTCCGTGGCCCGCGGTGGCGCAGCCCTGCTGTGGTGATCTGCGGTCTCGCTGAGCGTGGTGTTGCCGTCGCGTGGGAAAACTCATCCTCGCAGGCCTAGAGGTTGACACCAACACCAAGATCGGCGGTGTGCCTCCACCGAGGGAAGACGATCCCGATCTCGGTGATGGTGGTAATATTCTGGCCTCCAAGGTGGCCGAAATATTGCCACCCGCACCGAAATCTAGGACCATCTTTCCCATGTGGAGGCAACCCCCTGTGTTGGTGTTGGTGCCCATTTCTAGGCCTGCAACATCCCTCCCGGCCTCGTCGCTCTCTCCTCCCTGCGCCTGCCTCTCCTCTCCTCTCCTCCTCCTCCTCCTCCTCCTCCTCCTCCTCCTCCTCCTCCTCCTCCTCCTCCTCCTCCTCCTCCTCCTCCTCCTCCTCCTCCTCCTCCCCCTCACCGCCTAACGGCCTCGCCGCTCTCTCCTCCCCGCGCCTGCCTCCCGCAGCTCGCCCCCGCGGGCCCCCCTACGCTGCGGCCCCGCGCGCGGGCGCCCGAGGCCCCCGGCGGGCGGCCGCCGCGCCCGTGGAGGGCCCCGGGAGCCCGAAGACGGCGAAAAACCTCAGAGGAGGAGGAGGAGGAGGAGGAGGAGGAGGAGGAGGAGGAGGAGGAGGAGGAGGAGGAGTAGTTTGATGGCGTCCTTGAGGGTCCGCTTTCCTCAGGACCCCTGTTCTCCCATGCTAGGCAGATCCCGGTCTGTGGCCGCTGCTGGCTCTTCCCGCAGGCCGCACCATTGTGGAGGGCCCCGGGAGCCCGAAGACGTTGAACACCTCAGGGTCCGCTTCCCTCAGGACCCCTGTCCCTCCCATGCTGAGCAGATCCCGGTCTGTGGCCGCTGCTGGCTCCTCCCGCAGGCCGCACCACTGTCATTCATGCATAGGGTTGATGGCGTCCTTGAGTGCCAGGCTGCATTGTGACGAGGATCCTCCAGCCTGCGAGCTCCGCCTCTCCACGGTGCACACCTGCTTCATGTGCTCCTTCAAATCGCGCCACTCTACGTCGTAAGACAAGTTCCTCACGTAGGCATGGTTCTCTCCGTACCCCTAGCAGTGATTCCTACGTTGCCCTTGCCGCAGCAGTCCTGGCCCTCGTCGCTCTCGTTGACCCCTCCCTTCGCCCACCTAATTGTAACTGGTGACGTCGTCTCGTCCACGCCCCGTCCCGCCTGCTACCACTGCTGTCCCTTCTTGCACATCCTGCCCGCACCGCGGCGGGGAGGGGGATATGGAGCAGATGGAGGAGATGGAGAAGAGGAGGATAATAGTTCAGAGGGGGACGAGGAGGCACAGCAGTAGGAGGGGGATCTCGAGACTGATCTGCCAACGGTGCGCCGCAATCGGCTTAACACAAAGCTCAAGGGGCAAGCTCTAAAGTGGCAGGCGTGAACAACAAGTGAGCGTAGCCATCCCGTCAGGAGGGGTTCAACCTTGATGCCCATAGGACCACCTTTGGGGTGCTGAAGAGGTCTGGAGCACACTGTTCTCCAACATGCAGTGGAACGCGACCTGGTACTGCGAGCCGCTGCCTGGTCGACCTCTGGAGCTCCCGCCCGGGCGACGCCCAGGGAATCCTCGCCCGAGACGGGGCCCAGGTTTCCCCCGACAGCCTGCCCAAGCGGAAGCGTCCCCAGCCGCCGCCCGCAACCCGCGCTCAACCCGAAACCTGGACCCGAACGCGGCGGGTTCCCGCAGCGGCAGCCTCCAGCCCCCAGCGGGCGGAAGCGAAGCAGACACGCAGGGAATTGACCCCCTGCACCGCTTCCCGCCGGCATCGCCACCGGGGACTCTCCGCGGCCACGCAGCCCAACCGCCTACGGAAACCCAAGAGGCCCCTCGCACCCACCAAGAGAGACCGGTCCCAGTCGGTGCCGCCCCCCTCCGGGCAGGGGACGGCAAAAAGCGTGCGGGCTGCGCGCGCCCCACCAGCCACGCGCCGCAGCCGCCCCAGCAGCGCGCTCCCAGGCGGAATGCAGGCGCCGGCCCAGCAGCTCCCCACGCTGGAGCACCCCGGCCATTCTTGCCACCCTTCCAGACTTTGCGCCGCCCCCAGGCCCAAGCCTAGGCAACATGAGTGTTAATCCCTAGAGGCGGGCACGGCGATCCCCAGATCCCCAAGACGGGAAGGCTGATGATACCATCGCGCACGTCATGGTTCACCGTGCCCGGGCGCTGCGCCACAATCGACGAGGCCTGGAGGACATGGACCGACTACCTAACCTACAGAGTCAGTGGTCACCCTCCCAGCAGGCCACCCCGAGGGATCCTGGGGCCTTGTCGGAAGATGACTGCAAAAGGCTTCCTCAAGAGCACATACGGCACCACCGTCCCCGACCGCGGGACCCCGCATGGAACGCAATGGGACGTGAAGCAAGCTGCCCTGGCGCACCTAGTCGCCTATTTCCGGAGGCAGAAGACCCAGGCCGCCAAGGGAAGACAAGAAAAAATTGTAGACCTCTGGAATTCCTACCGCCTGAACAACCACCGACAGGCACGTGACGTAGGTCACGATCCCAGCAGGTGCAGCCGGGAGTTCCTCCTTGGTTTCCTGGCCATTCCAGGGGTTCAAGACCTGCAGACTCTGCTGCCTGCCCGGTGCGACCCGAGCACGGCTGCCCGCCGCAGCACCAAGCCCAATTGCAACGCTATTAGGACTGGCCCGACTCCCGCGTTGCGCAGCACGTGCACATCGCACGACGCACAGGCCAGCAGCTCTGCGCAGGGGCCCTCTGGTGACGCCCCAGCCAGCACAAACCTGGGGGAAGCCAGCAGCTCTGCCCAGGGGCCCTCTGGTGACGCGCCCCCCCGCTCCCGTCTCCGCGCGCCCGTCCCCCGCCGAAGGGCCCGCCCAGGGCGCTGCCACCCCCCCTGCCGGGAACCGCCGCCCGCCCGCTCCTTCTCCAGTGCGCGGCGAAGTCGACTTGGGCGACGAGCCCGAGCCCCCCGCCAGCGCCCCCGCCGACGAGCAGGAGCGCTCACCGACCCGCCAGCCGACGCTACAAACCCCCACTGCAGCAAGGGGCGGCGGCAGCGTCGGTCCAAGCCCGGGCGCCCGCGCGTGGTGGCGGAAGGGGGCACGACCGAAGAACCTGCAGGTGAGCGCGCGCGCGCAAGACTCCTTGGACCGCAGAGCAAACCAGCGGCGAATCCGCACCGCCAAGGGGGGCGATGCGAGCGCGCCTGGGCGGGCCAGAACAGCGTCGGAAGCCGGCGCCCCCAACACGGCTGGCAGGGGGCGGGGGCCAGGGAAAGCACCTGATTGGGGCACGTCGGCGAAGAAGAAAGGGGGGAGGCCGCCCCCCGGCCCGGGTGGACTGGGTGGGCAGCACGGAGGGGGCCAAGGGCCCACCGCAGTCCTGATGGGCGGTAGCGGGCGCGCCCCGGCGCGCGAAACTGAGGCCCAGTCCCGAGCATCTGGCCCGACAGGGGTCGCGGGCGTGGCCGAGATCTGGGCAGAGCGGCGCGCCACCAGGGAGGGGCGCGCGGCAGGAGCGGCTGTAGGCTCAGAAGAGGACTGGAGCGCAGAAGAGGGACGTGAGCAGGCAGTGGCGGGGTGCCCCCAGGGTAGCCGCAGGGCACGCGTTGGGCGGGCGCCGGGCGTGTTGGGCAGCCACTGGGGAGGTGGGCCTGGGAGGTTTGGGTGGGCAGGGTACATGGCGCGCCCTGCAATGGCCAGGGGAGGGTTCTGCCCGTACATTGGGCCGCCAACGTGCCGTGGGTGACGATCCCTGTTCTTCAATGGTCCAGGAGGCGCGTTAGGGGTATGGTGTGCGGCTGCTGGGGAGGCGCTGCCTGGTCTGCTCGTTGTTGGGCCAGGTTGGGTCGGCGCGCCGCTTGCCTTTCCATGTCGGGTCCTGGCCCTTGCCTTCACCCTTGCCCTTGTCAGAGTGCAGCTGCTCAATCCTTCGCACGTGCTTGTTCCATGCAGCGTACCAGTCGATGCGACTGCCCCGCTTCCTGGACAGCTGGCGTCTCGTCACGCAACTGGCACGTCACCTCCTCGCAGAAGTGTTCCTGCCCGTCGGGGTTGTAGGTTGTCCCCAGCCGTCCTTCCCGCTGGTCGCAGAGTGCGTTCCAGCCGATGACGAACATGGGGCCGCATTCCTTTTTCAGCCCGTTGACAACTTCTGGCCAAGACTCGTTCTGGCGGGCTTGGTAGTTCCATGCGCAGTGCAAGCGCATGTCCCGGCGGGGCTTGGTGTCCAGGCAGTCATAGGGGTCGTGGCGGGGCGTGTACCTGACGTGAGTGCGGGGGGCCCGATGCGCAGGGAAGGGCGGGTGGGTGCGGCCTGCGTGCCCGCTAGGCGCCGCGTCTCCGCCGGCGGCGGGAGAAGGTCCCCCCCGCCCACCCTGTCCACCCGGGCAGGGGGGCGATCTCTTGCTCCCTCTGCCCTGCACCTTTTCGGTGCCCCTCCCCGCCCCCCGCTCTGCCCAGTCGGCTGGGGGCGCTAGCGTCTTCCGCAGTTTTGACCGGGCCAGGGCGGTTTCCCTGCTGTCCACTCTGGCGGCGGTGACCCCCCCTTTCCCCCGGTTTGGCCCACTCTGTCCACCTGGGCAGGGGGGCCCTGCCCTCATTCTTCTGACATGCACCTGTTCGGTGCCCACTTCTTTCTCGCTGCTCTGTCCCTCTGGACCCTGCCGGGTCCTTGCTTCCGGCTGGCTCTTCTTGCCACTCTGGCAGCTGGAACCCTCCTGGTGCCCCGCTGGGCTCCGGCGTCCCCCCGCCCAGTGTGGCAACGCCCCCGACGCCGCAGCCGCCCGGCGCCGCCGCCCCGCCCGCGGGATTTCGCAGGCTCTGGGGGCCCCCCTGCTGCCCCCGCTGGGCGCCGGCAGGGTGCCTGCCCCCCACGCTGCCCCCTTCGCCAGATGGTGCGTGGCGCCGCCGCTGCCGCCTGGCCGCCCCGCCTGTGGGTCTCCCCGGCGGGGCGTCTTCCTTCTTGTTCACTTCTGCCTCTCCCGCCTGCTCTCCTCCCCTCCGCGCGCCGCCAGGGCGCTGACGGGCTGCTCGCGGTCGCCGCGCTGGCGCCCCAGGCTCGGTCTTGCCGCCTGCCGCCTGCGCCCCAGCTTTCTGCTGCGAAACCACGCCCGCTCCAGCCCTGGGGAGCGTGCCAGCAGCCGCCGCGGACCCGCCGGCGGGGCCGGCCTCTCCGCGCCCGCTCCGGAGCGGATTCGCTCCCCCCCCCCCCTGTTTCGACCGTTTCTTGTGTCTTGCCCCCTTCTCTGTGCATGGTGGCACAATTCGCTACAACGTTTCCCCCGCCTAGTTAATACTCCGCCGGCGCAGTTGCTGTGCCTAGCCGCCGACGCGCAAAAAGTGCGTGTTTGCTTATGTCTGTATGTGGAACTTTCGTTTGGCAATCGGCGTCGGATCGGACGCGCCACCTACATGCGTGTAGGTGTATATCTATATACGTACATATTTGTATATTTTTTATGTATGTATATATATATATATATATATATATATATATATGAAAATCCCGCACGATGCCTCAATACACCAATCGGTTTCGCTGTCAGCAGGTCAGTTCTGCTATTTCTCGAGCGCACGAACTACCGGCATCACCGCACATTTTGTACATCACACATGTGTACGAACGCATATGGTCGATCAGTTTATTCAGCGGCGTCTCACTATGTATTGATGTATCAACCCCGTTGTCAGTATATCAGTCGTCATCACAGTCAGCGTATTTGTTGCACCATCTACCGCCTTACGGCGTATCGATCGACAACGGCGGGACAACCACGGGACAACCACGTGATATCCACGGGAAAGCAACAGAAATGCCGCAGAAAACCATGTGATAACCACGGGACAACCACGGGACAACCACAGGATAACTAGGGGAGTAACCATGGGGTAACCGCGGGGCAACCACTGGACAACCCTGGGGCATTCATGTTCTCACCACCGGGACAATCGCGGCGAAACCGTTGAACAACCATTGAACAACCACAGAACAACGAAGGGACAACCGAGGAACATTCTTTGGACAACCACGGGGAAACCAAAGTACAACCGTTGGACAACCATGGGGCAATCACTGGATGTTCACGTAAAAACCATGAGACAACCGTGGGACAACCACGGGAGAACAACAGGACAGCCACAGGACAACCATGGACCGAGGAACAACCGGTGGACAACCAGCAGCAAATCCACAGTACAGCCATCGGGGCAACCATCAGGACAATCAGCAATTCAACCATCGGGTCAAACATTGGTGGACAACCGCGGGACAGACAACCGCGGGACAACTGCGGGACAGCCACGGGGTAACCAGGAAGCAACCGCGAGCCAACCACGGACAACCACCGGACAACCACGGGACATCCGCCGCACGACAATCATGAGACAACCGTGGGACAACCAAAGGAACACCGGTGAGCAGTCACAAGACAACCACGGGATATCCATCGCGACATCCACTGGGACAACCACGGGAACAACCATCAGGACAAGCATCAGGACAAGCATCGGGACAACCATCGGGGAAGTTGTCGGATCAGCCATCGAGGAAACCATAGGACCAAACATCGGGGCAATCATCGGGGCAACCATTGGGACAATCAGCAGGACTACCATCGGGACAACTGTGGGACAACCATGGGATCACCGGGGGAACCGCGGGACAACCCTGCCTTCCTTGCGCACGGGGAACTATTCGTTTGGCGTAACATTGACCTAGCTGGTACAGGAATTCGTGCAGCTTCGCCTCGCACGCACGCGCGACGCGAATCCAAAGCGAAACCGATCTTCCCTGTTGGGAGACCCCGTTTCACTGTGGCCCCGCCCCCCGACCTCCGATTTGTCGCCCTGTGTGGCCATCGAGGAGGAGGAGGCGGAGGAGGAGGAGGAGGAGGAGGAGGAGGAAGAGGAGGAGGCGATGGGGGAGGATGAAAGGAGAGATATTGAGTTTTGTGCCGCTCGGGGTCCTGACCCCCAGACACCCAGAGCTCCCCAGGCGCCCCAGATTTTGAGCGTACAGGACATGGAAAGCGCCGGGGGCCCGAGAGCATTCGAAAGCTTCCTTCCCGATCCATGGATCAAGGCCTGACTGCGTCCTCAGGGCCGCGCTCCACAGAAAGAGAAAAAAAAACAGATTCCGGGGGTCGATGCTTGTCTTGGGGAGGGGTGTTGCGCCTGAAAGGCTGGCCCAGGCTGTCTGTGCCGTCGCCGCCGGAGAAAGGATACGTCAGGGGTAAGAAGCAGGTACGAGGGGAGATGAGGGG